AGAAATCAACTTTCCTAAAAGTACATTAGACTGGGTAAAATACAACTTTCCAAAGTCATGCTGGGTAAAATACACTTCTAAAATCATGCTGGGTAAATACACTTTCAAAAGTCATGCTGGGTAAAATCACTTTCCAAAAGTCATGCTGGGTAGAATCACTTTCCAAAAGTCATGCTGGGTAGAATCACTTTCCAAAAGTCATGCTGGGTAAAATCACTTTCCAAAAGTCATGCTGGGTAAAATCACTTTCAAAAGTCATGCTGGGTAAAATCACTTTCCAAAAGTCATGCTGAGTAGAATCAGTTTTCAAAAGTCATGCTGAGTAGTATCACTTTCCAAAAGTCATGCTGAGTAGAATCAATTTTCAAAAGTCATGCTGAGTAGAATCACTTTCCAAGAATCATGATGAGTAGAATCAGTTTTCAAAAGTTATGCTGAGTAGTATCACTTTCCAAAAGTCATGCTGAGTAGAATCAATTTTCAAAAGTCATGCTGAGTAGAATCACTTTCCAAGAATCATGATGAGTAGAATCACTTTCCAAAAGTCATGCTGAGTAGAATCAGTTTCCAAAAGTCATGATGAGTAAAATCAGTTTTCAAAAGTCATGCTAAGTAGAATCACTTTCCAAGAATCATGATGAGTAGAATCACTTTCCAAAAGTCATGATGAGTAGAATCAGTTTCTAAAAGTCATGATGAGTAAAATCAGTTTCCAAAAGTTATGCTGAGAAGTATCACTTTCCAAAAATCATGCTGAGTGTTGTTCATTGAATATCAGCTGTCCTTATGTTGTTCTCAAATATCTTTGGGAAATGATTCAAACACTTAACGATTGACATTATCATCTTCCAACAAAGACTTTTTTCTAAATATGAAGCTTATTAATAATCCTCCATCATCACAAACATTCCTAAAGTGAAGATATTTTTGGAAACTAACAGTTAAGCTTCCTTACAAAACTTCCTAAGGGTCTTAGAAATAATGTCATCAAATGTTTTGAGTTTAGAACGTTTTACATTCCCTCTTTAGCTTCCTTTACTTCTTTATTTCAATAAAACTCAGTATCAACCAATTTACAAGCTTTGAATTTATCAATATTTCTGCAATTCATCTAATTAAGAATGATCTTCATTTGCAATAAATTCCATTTCTCAGCTAGTTACATCAAACTAATGTCATTAATAAGATACGTAAACAGGTTTTGCTAAAATATAATATTAATATTAAATATTTGTTCTCCAATTTCTGAAATAAATGAAGACACAGAGTGCATAACACTGAAACCTAAATACATACCTATGTGCTTTCCTAACTAGTGAATTTATGTTATTAAATACTAGTTCCATCTTTTTAGGGTCGGGATTACTTCCTACTTCAACTATCAGTAGAGCTTCAGAGATATCTAAGAGAACAGTACGTAAAAGCATTTTATGTGGATTATTAATTTATTATACAAGTATATGAAATATTGTTCGTAAGAAAAAAATATGAGAGGTTGTTACTTCCAAAGTAACTATAGTCATTAACCCTTTTGGACCACTGGGTGTTCAAGTCACTCTGGGTGCACACTCTCAACTTTCAAAATTATACATATAATTCCATTTGTATCTTATAAATGTTGTATGTGGAAAAATATTATAGAATTTAAAAAAAGACCCAAAACTTGAGTTGATTATTCTTCATTATTCTCCTGTGTAATAACTCTTTTGTTAAAACAAAATCAATATTTTAGCATTATACACTGACAAAAATGCAGAGAAAGCATCTAATGACAGGTCAGCCAAGTCCACTACTCAGCAATTACAGTCATGGCTGTAATTCACCTAACTGTTCGCAGGTGTCCAGTGTAGAGACGGGACCATTCAGCTAACACCAGTTGATACAGTTCTGCATGAGATGTGGGTTGTGGTAAACTGTGATGTTCCTGTGCTAAATGGGGTTGAGATCTGGAAACTTTGTTGGCCAAATCATGTTCAGAGAACAACTCCTTCCAACTTCTGGATCTACACACAGTGGCATTGTTCTAATGGAATACAGCATCATCATGTGTATAGACAGTAAGAATCGTCAATGATGTGAAGGTCTGTTTTGACAGTCCACAGGAATCATGAGACACACAATCACCTACTGTTTTGACAGTCCTCAGGAATCATGAGACACACAATCACCTACTGTTTTGATAGTCCTCAGAATCATGAGATGTACCATCACCTACTGTTTTGATAGTGCTCAGGAATCATGAGACGTAAATATCACCTACTGTTTTGATAGTGCTCAGGAATCATGAGAAATACCACCAACTGCTGTTTTGATAGTCCCCAAGAATCATGAGAAATACCACCAACTGCTGTTTTGATAGTGCTCAGGAATCATGAGACGTACCATCACCTACTGTTTCGATAGTCCCCAAGAATCATGAGATGCACCATCACATACTGTTTTGATAGTCCTCAGGAATCATGAGACGTACCATTACCTACTGTTTTGATAGTCCTCAGGAATCATGAGATGGGGAGGTCGGGTTGGAAAGTGTTAGCAGGTGACTATTAATCATATATATATTTTCAGACAAGGAAAACATTAACTTTTGAGAGAATAACTCACCTCTACACACAGTTTAGCTAGGATCCCACATTTAATTGGTGAAGAGGCAAGTGTAAAATTTTACATAGATGAGCTCCTTTCAGAAATTGTCTGAAGTGAAGCCCGAGGGGTGTTACACCTGATAGTAGGTACTTCATAGAGGTATATCCATGGAAGACAGCATCTTTTACTAATCAGGGTATACTCTTTGGCCAGAATGTAAGAAGAGATGAGGCAAATGAGCTTCATGTGTTACAGGGATGGGAGGAATGAGAATATGACTGTACGAATACTTGCACACAAGTGGTCAGCCAGCCAATATGTGCAGTGTGATTGGGGCACACTCAAACAATACCTTGTGTGCTCACTTCAACTGTACTGAAGAAATTCTGGCTGCAGTAGGGAGGCACATTAGTTTTGAATCATGGTTTCTGTACATTGTGTGCACACTTCGACTCAACTGAACAGGCTCTGGCCACAGAAGAAGGGTACAAATGGTAAAAGTAATAGTTTAGAGGGGTGACTGCACTACACTAACAGTGTAACACCAAATTGTGCTAAGCCCAACTGGTGAGGATTTTCTCTATTCAACCACCCTAATGGCTAGGAACTAGTAAATGGCAAGGGTCTGCCATGCTCCACTTGATGAGGAGAAGATAGAATTTGCATTGAGGAAACTTGGAGAAGTGCCCAGACCTCAGATCTCCAGCTGGAAAGGTCGTTCACTAAAGACATTGCAATGGGTAAATACAAAATCCTATTTTTAAAAGTCAGCAAACACAAGCCAAAAAAATGCCAGAACACTTCTCCAGTGCTGGCTTTTACCACGATAATCCATGGAATAGGTACAGTCAGCACTGGACAACAGAATAAATATGTATATGATGAGGATATATCAAGTTGTCTTGTGGAACACCCTATCTCACAGTGGGCACTATTAAAGCCAGCAAAGATGATCTGTGCACTTTCTGTTACCCACAGCTCAATGCAGATTTTGGGTAAATATACCCTGGGAGGCAACACCAACCACATGGTGGGGTCCTATAAAAGTAAAAGGGGTCCTGAAAAAGGAAGTGGTATGTATTCCTCTCAAAGATGGTGGGATGGATGAAGAATGGTGACCAGTGGAAGTCAAAATACATCAAGAGAGAAAACAGCTATATGGTGTAGATAAGGAAAGGTGGATGTGTTGAGAGTGTCCACATGCCCATCGTGAAGCTTCTTGTCCCAGAGCCAGGGAAATTGAGATAGAAGAGAATGAAAAAGGTAAAAAATCAAATACATAGAAATGTGAAATAGCCTGTGAAAATCAACAAACAGAGATGAACACACTAAAAGGAGGAGTTAACAGACCAATTCAGTAAGGATAGAAGGAAAGGAGACCCAAAGTAGGGAAAGATGATAACAAGGACCCCGAAAGGGTAAAGTCTGTGATAAAGAACATCAAACAGCTTGAACAAGACACAAGAGCCGATCTGGGTCCTAACAACCTAACAGCAAGAAGAAAAGGAGATAGAAGAAAAAGTATTGGTTGAAGTCTGAGGAAAAATGGATCAGTATGCGGAGAGAATTATATAAGTGAAATGGAAGCAAGTGTGAGAAATATTTATAGCACAAACAACATAACAGTAATTGCAGGTATAAAGGAGGAAGTAATAAGTCTGGAGAGAAAGGCGGTACAAAAGGAATAAGCGAATGGCTTAAACACGATGAGCACCAGGGCAAACAAATCTCAATTAGGTTCTCAGTCAGGAATAGGAGTCAGGCAAGGAGGTAGAAGAAGAATAAAGGAGCACAACAGAGAGGAAAGTACAGGGGAATAAACACATTGTGGTAGTGGGAAAAAGCAAAATGCCATGAACAAGGCTGCCCAATAATCAACAAGGACAGAAACTGAAAAACCATGGACAAATAGCCAGGTAAAAAGGCAGAAAGGTAGTTCACAGTAGGATGGCCAGGAGGAAAGGATTAGCAAATAGTCTAATGATAAAAACCCAGCACTTTCTTTGACAGATAAACACAGTGAAAGGGTTACAGGAATGTGCCAAGAAGAATGTCACATGATTAGAGAGTCTGGTCAAAGAGACACCAATCATAGCATCTAACAAGAAACAACACATTTCCAGGTGAGGACCTAATGGGGAGACAAATAGAATTAGGCATACAGAAAGTGGTGCCTGATTTCTCAAATTGACAGCCAGAACCAAAGTATGAGAAAAAGTGGGACAGAAGAGAAAAACCTGAAGTAGAAAAGGGTGTCAAATGTGTCCATGAGGGTTGTGGTCATCCAAGAACAAACCTCACAAAAGACCTGTAGGTGTAGAACTCAAACCATTGGCAAAATGCAGAATGGCTGAGAGAGAGACAGCCCTTGAACAAGTTCTAAGCTTTTGGAAAATGACAGGCAATAAGCCAATGTGAATGAGCCCAGAAATGTATGTCTAATGCCCAAAAGCAAAAGGTCCAGGAACAGGTCTCTCTCAGACAGTTGATGCAAGAAACAACCATGGAATTGACTAAATTGAACATGACTGAGTGATCCATCAAAAGGGGCAGGAATGGGAACATGCCCAATGAACAGGGAAAAGATGCAGTAATGTGATGTGGAGTGAACACTTGTCCTGTGTCCAAATGCCAAAAGTTCTGCCCTCTACCACAGATGTGCCTCAATCAGAGAGGGAAGCATTAGCAATGAGAGAGAGAGAGAGGAGGGAAGGAGCTCTGGTTAAGAGAAGGTAAGGGAATGCTAGAAGTAGTATGGGCACAGAGCAGTCACTGTGACAATTCATCAAGGAGAGAAGAGAATCAATAATGAGACAATGAACCAAGATAGAATCTCGTATTACGACGGTACCACGTAGTAAGTAACATGTACTATGTAGTAG